AGAACTACCCTGTACAGGAGGGGGGGTGTGTGTCGGGGGGGGGGGGGAGTGTGTGTGTGTGTGTGTGTGTGTGTGTGTGTGTGTGTGACACTGCCCTGTACAGGAGGGGGGGGGTGTCATCTGTGTGTGCGTGTAGCACTGCCCTGTCCGGGGGGGGTTGTCTGTGTGTGTGTGTGTGTAGCACTGCCCTGTACAGGAGAGGTGTGTGTGTCTTTGTGTGGTGTGTGTGTGTGTGTTTAGCACTGCGAAGTCTGTGTGTGGGGGCAGTGCTGTCCTCTAGTGTGCATGATGCCTGATACCAAGCTGTCAGCCGGACTACAGTGTATGTTTGAGTAGGCTCCGTTTTGTGCTCAGAATTGTGTCACACTTTGCATGGGTCAAGGTCCGGTACGGCTGGGCCCTGTGTCAGTTGTTGGCGCAGCACAGCTAGAGCCCCGCAGGTGGTAAACTGGGGGGGGGGCGGTGGTGACGGCTGGATTTCTGCACGTTTCATTGTTCTGCACACATTAGTCCCCTCCATGCGCGGCCGACATAAAGCCAAACTCTCACCGCGCCTGGGGTTGTAGCCGTCTCGCGCTTTTGCAGAAGCCTTCCTTCCGGAGGGCGATTTTCATTTTGAACGTTTAGAGACCAAACCACGCCTCGGGAGCAGCCGCTCCAGACAGACTCTGCGTCTGCACCGCCTGCTGGGAGGGGCGGGGTGTGCCGAAAACCGAGATCCCTTTAAAGGGGTTTCAGTCTTCGATGTCCGGTGATCAGACCAGACCCTGTCTGAGACGTGCATGCTGCGTCACGTCTAGAAACAAAGTCGGATTTCTATATTTGTCATTTTCTTGATTTGTCTCAGGTGCTGTGCATCTACAGAACACACTACTTGTTCCCACGTTCCCTCTGTGTGTGTGCGCGCGCGTGTAAGCGTGTGTGTGTTTAAGCGTGTCTGGATGGATGTGCGCACGACTGCTTCCATCTCGGCATGCGCTCGAGGACGTGTCAGGGTGTGTGTGCATACGTGCGTGAGCTGTGTGCGTGTTCCCTGCCCATCTGTGTGTGTGTGTAAGTATGTGTGTGTGTGT